GAGCGGGGGTGCTCTCCAGGGGGCATGCAGAGATATCCTGGCTCCCTGTCCCTCACCGTGATGGGGTCCAGGCTGCTAGACTTGTACTGGGCAGCAAAGGCAATGAAGTTGGTGGCCTGCGCTGAGACAGTCTGGGCGGTGCGGCCCTCCAGTAGGAAGGAGGAATTTCTACCCTGGGCCCGGACCAAAAGGAAGTCCCCCAGCCCATTGAAGGTATAATTGGCACCATCCAACGTCATGAAGTGAGGGTCCCCAAACATCCAACCTGGCAAAAAAGCAGAGAGACTCCGTTGGCATGGCAGACCAGCGGGTGGGACTTGCTGTTAATTGCCATGGCATTGGCTCCGACTGGGGCTGCACCCCCTTCAGGGTCCCGGGTACATTTAAGTGCGCTCTTGCCTGCTCTCAGGCCAATCGGTCTCACAGGTTTCCTCGTTTCATCCACCCGCTTTGAATCACACTGTCCTTGCCTAGTGACCGGTCTTTCCTGACCACACGCCCACAGTAGGCAAGCCCCCGTCTTGTCATCCTTGCTCCTAAGGAACATTCTGGTTATCTTTCTTCCCTGCCTGCTTCACTCTTTCCATAGTTCACAGCATAGTCCACACGTTCACGAATGCCATTGTTTGAGTGCATTGATTCTTCCCCTGTTTCCCCTTTGCATCCTCCAGCTTTTACAGGGGCTGAGATCGCCCCCTGTTCCCCTCGCTCCCCAGACAGGGCATTGGCCCTTAGATCAAACCTGGGGAGATGTTCACAGAACAATGGAATCTTCTTCAGGAGTCTTTGTGCATCTTTGGGCCCCTTAATCCATTTATGTTTTTTCCTTATCCCCTGCCCCCCATTCTCAACCCCTTCCCCATGCCCCTGGTACAAAGCCCCTCATTTTCCCACAAGCACCACACTGGAAGCCTCTCCAGTTTCTCTGTGGCTACAACTTTAGCCCAAAGGCAACCCTTCCCTGGTCCAGCCTCCGTGTACCAGGTCCAAGAAGCCAGCCCTCCCCCGAGGCCCTGCCTCACCTGGTCGGGGAGGCCTGTATCCGGCACAGCTGACACGGGGCTGCCTCTGCTGGTACAGGGTGCAGAAGAAGGGCTTGTCATTCCAGCGGCAGCACCAGTTCTGCGGCTCCAGTTCCTGGCCTGGGGAGGTCATGTTTGGGGCGATGGGGACAGTGGAGAAGTCAGGTGAAAGATGACAATAGCCCAGCTTTGCAATCAAGCACCTCTAGGTTCAAACTGTACCCTGCTCGATGGCCTGGGGCAACTGGACTCCCAATTGCTGTCTTCCTGGCAGGCTTGCTGGACAAACCATTGTGCAGCCTGGCCCACGGTAGGAGGAGCTCCGTGAGGTTCCTTGGTGAAGACTGTGCTGAGTTCCACTTTTCTCAAAGGGGTCGGAATGGGAAGGGGCAGTGTGTGGTCTGGGGACTGAGGCGGCTGCAATGGGATTGAGCCAAGAATGGGAGGCACCCTGGGCCCTCCGTGCACATGACCCTGTACTCTCCAGCTCCTTTCCGGGGTTCTTTGCCCATCTAGCCTGCTAATCTGGGTGGTGTGAAGGGATGGGGGACAGATGAGCCCACCTTTACTTCCCTGGAAAGATGTTTCCACTTTGGCTGGGGCAATGGGGCCAAGGGGAGACAGGGCAAGAAGGCCTCCAGTCATGCATTCGTAGACTGTCAGAGCCAAAAGGGACAGGGAATGTGTTCTCCCTTTACAGATTTGGAAACTGAGTCTCAGAGAGGGAAAAGAATAGGCCAGGAGGCCCATCGTTGGCGTGGTGCCCAGGGTTGACTTCTGGTTGGAAAGGGCAGTTGGGGTTTAGCGGAGGTGGGACATACATACCAAACTGCCAAGGATCCCGCACTCTCCAGCCTTCTTGAAGTTCTCCCCAGGGCCCATAACTGCAGCACACGCCCCCGCGCCAGGATGAGAAGCTGCACAGTTGCCGGCTGCCTCTGCCCCACCAGCCTGCAACAAGTCCAGACAGTCTGGTCAGGGCGTGGTGAGGGGCAAGGGGGAGGGCCATGCATGTGGATTCTGGGGAGAAGCTGAGGGTGCCGTGGAAAGGGCAGGGGAGAGGTGATGGGGGGGGGGGTATACAGGTCAGCAAGCATGCCCAAGAGACAGGAAGAGGGTGTCACCTGGCTTGGTGGGCTGGAATCGTAAGTCCCATCGTCCTTGCTGCCATGAGCAAGGGCAGGAGATCTGGTTCGAGCCCCAGCTGGGCCACTGAGGCTGTCTGTTCAGCCACTGCAGGCACTTGAGCCGGTAGTTGGGTGTTTCTTGCCTGTGTAGCGCATAGAACTGCAGGCCCCGGAGGCCTGGGGAGCAAGCAGAAGGAGTTAGCACCGGGCCTGTGCTCGAGGCTCTGTTTCAGCACATGAAAGCTTAGAAACACACGGTCACACCTCGCCCTCCATCCTCTGGGCAGCTCTTCTTCTTTTTAAAGTCATGTACCGATCATTAAATAACACAAGCTATTACTCATAAAACGATAGTGTGAGATAGACTCAAAACCACAATAAACTACAATGCGATGCTGCTCCCCCCCCCACACACACACACTAAAGGGGCAGCCATGAAAAATAAACACCTGACTGCAGCTGGACCCTCGTCCTTCACGGGGAGGGGGGGGCGAACAGTATGGGGGCTCCTCGAAGAGGAGAGCATAGAAGGCCCACATGGCCTACCAACAGCAAGCCTAGGTATAGTTCCAGAAGATTGCTTCTATAACCCAATAGCTTTTTAGCAGAACACAGGTCATTTTAGTAGTGTGTTAGTTTCTTTTTTTTTTTTT